TCTTTTTTGCTATGTATTTTTTTTGTTTTTTTTCCCTTTTTTTTTTTTTTTTTTTTTTTTTTAAATAACAACTGATGCCTAACCAACCAATCAATCGGGCCATTGACTCACAGTGGCCCAAAAGCCAATTACAAGCACAGACTCTATCATGCTACACCAGCATTTTTCAATTGATAGCTCAATATTTATTGGGCCCTTTACTTCAGCTTAAGAGTCACAAATATGCATCATCCAAATACCAATGACCTTATACTGGTGTGGCATGTTCTGTTTTGAAAAGGGATTTTATGACCATTTGCTTGTGTCATCCTCAGAACTCAGGCATCCAGACAGGTAGCACCACCCTGCTTTATCAAGAAGCAATCTTGTTCTGCTTGCTGGTATCTCTGGTCTAGGAATAAGACCTAGTTTCCAAACCTAATGGGTTTGGACTTACTACATGTGTGACCTTCTGGGTATCATTTAACCTGAGTGCCAGTTTTTTCATCTGTAAAATAAGGAATGACAAGACATTCTTAATGCTCTTGCCTATAAGAGCTTTCTTAAGTTATGGCTTGCCCAACACTGCTTAGTAAGTCAAGGGTGGATCTGAGAAATGAGAGGTCATGGGGTGGAGGATGCCCCATTCATTTCTCCTCTGAGTGAAGAGCACTCATCCTGTAACCTCTTTTACAAACTATATCTTTCTTTTTTTAAATTTTAATAATACATTTTATTTAACCTAATATGTCCACAATATTAACAGTTTAACATATAATCAATATAAAATATCAATGGGATGTGTAAAGAAAAGCAGCATGTATGCCTCTTGTATTTACTGCGGTTGAGAAAGCACTTGAATTTCTCTAGGATTTCTCTTGTAATTTTTTATATACACTTGATAAAGAGGTGATACAGATAGACACTTGCTAAGTAAAGACAAAATGATGGTTCTCCAGGGGCATTAAGGTTTCAAAGAGAGGGCAGTGCTGGGACCAACCAGGATGCCCAGCGTGGCTTGGGTGTTTTAATATGGTTGATGTGATGCCATACCAGTTGTTATATATGTTGAATACCAAACCCAGGTGAGAAAACTTAGTCATTCTGTGGCACTAAAGTATTTAGATGTCTGAAGGTAGTACAATTGGAAACAAAAGAAAACCATCCACAAAGTACATTAATGTTGTGACTTTGAATCTTAATGGTTTAGTAAATTTGTTCATATTCAATTTTTAAATTTGTTCAGTGTTATAGCTGTAAAAGAGTTAAAAGCGTAGGTAAATGTGTCTGTCTTTTCCTTATTTTCTTTTCTGCCCAGCCAACCACCCCCTATGACACCCTCCAAAGGAGAATATTTCCAGTCAGTTCTAGGATCTTTGTTGTGATGTAGAGTTAGGAAAAAGCATATATATATATAAAGGACTAGAGAGGTAGAGAATGCTTGAGAACTAGGGAGTGCAGGAAGAAGTTTTTGAGAAATTTTGCTGAGGGATATGAATCGGATGTCCTTTAACAGCCTTTAAGAAGCACAAGCAAAAACTGAAATTCTTTTTAAATGATCGTATTGCACTCAAATTGTGCAATCGTACTCCATGCAGAGGTTGAGCTCTGGGGGCTCCAGGATTTATTTGGAATGTAAGTATAAGAAGTTTATACCCAGTTTTATATTGGTATCTATTACTTAGCAATATTGTAAACATATTTTATGTAAACATGAGGGGCCAAGAAAATTCATTTCCCTTAGAAGTTGTCTATATAGTATTTAAATTTAGTTCCAAATTGTAGGTTCTGTTCAAAGAAACTCTGAGCCTCAGTGCTGAGACATGGTTTTCATGGTTTACCTGGAACAGCAATGGTCCACTCTTCACATTTAAAGCACTCGCTTACTGCTGAGGGTGCTCCCAACCCAGCGATATTCATGGCTGCCACCTGGAACTGATACACTGTATTTTCCTTCAAGTTGCTAATCTGCAACATGGACAATATTACAGAGAATGAATGTTTCAGGTTTGTTTTTTCTAATTGTTCAACAACTTATTTATTTACCTCCTGTGTTGGACACACTCTAGGGTGATCCTCAATGAGTCATACCCGTTTGTAATCTCCTTTCCTTGAGTGTCGGTGAAACATGTGACTTCTTTCTAGCCAACGGAACATGGCAAAGGTATGGGAATATCAGCCCTATAGTTGTGTTATATCATATGGCAAAGGGGGAGGGATGTTTCAGATGTAATTAATGTCCCTAATCAGTTAATTTTGAGTTAATCGAAAGGGAGATAGATTATCCTGGGTGGGCATGACTGTGACATTGTGTTTTATAATAAGAAATATATATTTGGTCTTCTCTCCATTCCTGGCACAGAGCTCCTAAAAACCTTGGAATTTACTAAGTGATGAGAATGATAAAGGTGTCTTTCATTATATTAATGAAGGGATTTATAGGTATGCCCCTAAGTAATCTAAGTATGGGGGCTGGTTACAGGGGAACCAATCATGTGATTAGAGAGTTGGAACTTTGGGCCTCACCACTGGGACCTCTGGAGAGAGAAGAGAGGCTAGAGATTGAATTCAATCACCAAAGGCCAAAGATGTAATCAATCATGCCTATGTAATGAAGTCTCCATAAAAACTAAGAAGCAACAGGGTTTGGAGAGTTTCCAGTTTGGGGAACACATAGAGGTACTGGGAGAGTGATACTCGGAGAAGGCGTGGGAGCTCTGGGCCCTTCCCACGTACCTTGCCCTCTGTATCTTTCACCTAGCTGTTCCTGAGTTATATCCTTTTATAATAAACTGGTAATCTAGTAAGCAAAATGTTTCCCTGAGTTCTGAGTTGCTCTAGAAAATTAGTTGAACCCAAGGAGAAGGTTATGGGAACCTCTGATTTATAGCCAGTTGGTCAGATCAGAAGCTCAGGTGACAACGTGGACTTGGCACTGGCATCTCAAGTTGCGGGGAAGGCACTCTTGTGGGACTGAGCCCTTAACCTGTGGGATCTGATTCTATCTCTGGGTAGTGTCAGAATTGAGTTAAATTGTGAGACACCCAACTGGTGTTGAGAAATGCCGTGCATGACAGTGTAAGAGTAAAGGAGAAACACACAGGAGAAAGAGTGAGTTTTTCCAAAGGACTGACTGAATCAGATAGGAACTCTTAAAATGAGGTTTAGGTCCTTCCTGAAGAGAAACACTGTTCTAAGGGCCTTGAAGAAGCAAACGCCATTTTGCAAACTGCTTATCCACTCACATTTGGAGAAGGGCAGCCTCAGACCTACAGCTGCAAGGAACTCAATTCTGCCAACAACCTGAATGAGCTTGGAAGAGGAACTCAAGCTCCAGGTGAGAATGTAGCCCAACTGACACATAGATTTCAGCCTTGTGAGACCCTGAGCAGAGGACCCAGCTAAGCTATGCCAAACTCCTGACCCATGGAAACTGATATAACAAACATGAATTGTTTTAAGCCATGAGATTTATGGTAATTTACTATATAGCAATAGAAAAGTAATGCAAGTACTGATGAAAGTTAAATGAATTCTAGGCTAGGAATCAAAATATTCAAATCTTTGTAATGTTCCTGCTCTTCACTGGGTGACCTAATATTTTCTATATCCCTCAGTAGGAATTGTGTTGTTGTGAGGGTAAATATATATAATAAAATTATGAATGTGAAAACATTTGCAAAATAGAAATGATGAAATATATTAGTGTGAAAAAATCTATGTGCTATAAACAATCATTTGAACATTAAAAATGCTTAATAAATGGAGGTACTGATGGAAACAGCTGAGTTAGCAAAGCTGACCTATTGTATGAATTAAGCCAAGACAAATATATATCCATGATCCAATCTATATCTGATCTGATTATGAAGTCATAAGTTCATCCACGAAAGGGCTTATCTGCCAGTTATTTAGGGTATAAGTAGAATATAATGGCTATGTGCTGTAATAACAGAATGTTATAAACATCCTTTTTGATTAAACACACACATGCACATTCCCTTTAAGAAGAAAAACTCTTTTTAACTATGGGGAAACCATGATGTAGAGAACTTGGATCTAAAAGTACTTTATTTAGGTTTCAGGATTGCACTGGGGTCCTATTAGTGTGACCAACCATTTCAGTTTTCCTGGGAGTACAGGGTTTCCAAGGACACAAGTCTTTTTTGTATTAAAACTAAGAGAGTCCCGTGCAAACTGAGAGGTTGGTACAATGATGTACAAACTCAGTATGTCAGAATTTAGTTACATTTCTCTGTTCTAGCAACAACAAAATAATATAAAAATATACTATTTAAAATAACACTGAAAATATGTAGAATCTATAAATAAATAACAAATAATGAACAAGGCTTTGTAGAAAATTATAAACCTTTTTTGAGACTTTAAAGAAGATCAAAATAAATGGAAATATCATATTCATGAATTAAAAGACTCCATATTTGAAAGATGTCAATTATTCCTTAGTTTATTTATAAATTCAATGCAATCCCAATCAGAATTCTAACATGTTTTCATTTTTAATCTTGTTTATTGTTGTGTTTTTTTCTTGTCCTGTTTTTTGAAGAATTTGGTAACCTAACTCCACAATTTATATCAAAGTACAGAGGGCTATTAGCCCTAGAAGAGGAAAAATAAGCTGATAAATAAAAAAAAAAAACAACTTAATCTACCAGTTATCAAAAGTACAATAAAGCTATAATAATTAAATGAGTGTGATACTGGCCCAGTGGTAGACAAATAGACCAGTGGAACTGAAGAGAGAGCAGAACAGAGTAGAACAAAATAGAGAAACAGACACATGTGTAGAAGGAAACTTGATATATGATACAGATAGCCTAGCAGAATAGTAGAAAAGGACAAACTTTTCAATAGATGATGCTGAGACAACTGGATATCCATAGGAGGGGAAATGAATTTTGACCCTTACTTCACATCGTACACATTTACAGGTGAATAAATGACTTAAATGGCAAACTGTAAAGCTTTTAGAATATAATCTAGTGCAACATCTCCATGACCCTGGCATAGAAAAGGCATCTTTTTTTAAAATAAAAATATTATTATTGTCAGGCTGTAAGGACTTTTGAGACCATCTTACAAAGGAAAAAGATGATACCCTGAGGTTAACTGACTGGCCCCAGGTCACACAGCTGGGACTATGGCTTTCAGGATCCCTGAACTAAAATATATTTCTTTAGAGAAAAAAAAAAAAAACTATGCAGAAATCACTAATGACAAAGCAAATGTTGGTGAATATAACTACAATAAATTTGACATTAAAATTAGTGTAGTTCACCATAAGGAGATGAAAAGACTAGCGACTGAGCGGGAGAAGATATATGCAACTTACATAGCCATCAAGAATTTATACTTAAAATATATAAAGAACTTCACAAGTCAATAAGAAAACCTTAGAAAAATGAGTACAAACTTTGAACAGGCATGTTATAAAGGATTCCCAAATGGACTATATGCAGAGGAAAAGATGTTCAGACTCATTTGACACCCTGATTGTCAAAACTGAAAATGTGTGAATATATCAAGTGTTGGAAGGATGTAAAACAATGGAAATTCTCAAACTCTTTAGAAAAACAGCAGAGAATTTATCTAGTAAATTTAAAGAGAAAAAAGGCTCTTTGGCCCAGCAATTCTTTTAGGTAATAACTTAGAGAAGCTAGTGCACACTTGTGCTAGCAGACATGTACAGGCACACCTCGGAAATATTTTGAGTTCTGTTTCAGACCACAGCAATAAAACAAGTATCACAATAAAGTGAGTTGTAATCTTTTTTGCTGGTAGAGGATCTTGCCTTCAATTTGTAAAAAAACCCAACATCTGTGAAGCGCAGTAAAGTAGAGCGCAATAAACCGAGGTATCTTACAAAAAAATGTTCATAGCTGCATTATTTTATATAGATAAAGTGCAAAAATGCCCAAATATAAGTTAATAATTGAATGGACAAGTACATTGTGAGATGATCATATAATAGAATACCTTACAGTATTGAAGTCATAGCTACGTGTACCAACATGGAAAAATCTTTTTAAAAAGTTGTGTTTTATGTATTCTCAGCATGTATGCGATATTTCATAAATTCTAAATGTTCAGTCAAAAAAGTGTGGCATTGAGTTGGGGAAAGTGCCTTTCCCTAGGCCTTGACCTGCTCTCTTTCTTATGGCATGGGGTCCTGTGAGTGTTGGGCGGTGGTGACCTGGGTCTAGCTTATGATGCTCTAAAGAGAGGTGCCATCGGCTGTGGCAACTGTGAAACCTGTCCGGTGCTCAGAGGTGGGCCAAGATGTGGAGGCCCATGTGTAGAAGGGAAACTGTGGGTAGACCCATGTGAAGTGCCCCTTTGTAGCCATCAGAGCCACTATAACAGGGAACATTTCACAGGTGGCAAGCTCAGTCTGGCCATGAGACCTTAGTCCCTTTATTCTTTGTGATTTGGATGCCGAAAGTTAAAAATCCAGAGTCATTTGGATTCTGGGACTCTTGAAGCTAGTGGCGTATTTGGTACAGATATTTTATAAGTTAATTTTTGTAAGAAACACTATTTTTCACAATAAAAATACATTTCATACTGAATAATCTAAGAAATTATTTTTATATGTATGAATCAGAAAATATACATCCTGTCTGGTCAGCCAAACTACTTCTATTTATTTTTGTATATTTTTTTTTACAAAAGTCATGTCATTGCAGGAAATGGACATTGGAGAAATGACATGAATCATTCACAAGGTGCTGGGCATGTGCATGTGAGCATGCCATCATATGTATGACACTCCACACTACAGAAGGTCACGTGCTTACCTTATATGCCTCATCACTGACGGCTTTGATGTTTGCTTCTCTCCATCTTCCCGGTACCCCATCAATTACCTCCCGATAGTTCACATAATAGCCAGTAATTTCAGCACCTCCACTCTTATCTGGCTGCTTCCATCCAAGAACCATTGAGTCACGAAAACTTTCAAGACAAGTGATATCATAGGGTGGAGATGGTGCCGCTGTTGCAATATGAATAGCTCATGAGTAGACAGAAATGCAACTATCGTTCTACGTACATTGCACTTGTTTCACTGGTGCATGCATGAGGGCCCTAGGTCTTGCAGCATAAAACGGAAATGTGACACTGATCAGTATATTTGGCATCTGATTTGGTGTATGAGAAAAAAATTGACACACAGCAAAAAGTGCACTGCAATTATTATTCCAAAGATAAAAAGAACCTGGCTCTCACTTTCAGGGAGGAATAAGTTTTGAAATACTAACAGTGAAATGGTGCAATATCCTGCAAAATGATTCTGTTTCCCATAAAAAAAGAAATATTTCCCCAAAATATATGTATTTTTTTCTTTATGTCATTTTGTTTCTATTTGCTCCTTGAGGAAAATGGAATATGTATATCAGTTTCTGCTTCAATTAGTTTACTGAGAATTTTCATACATTTCCAAATAGCATTTTACCATTTAGGCATATGTATCCTTGTGAGACCTTATAAACTATACAGTTTTTGTCTACACACAGGAAAAATCTTATTCTAAAGTTCAGCTAAATGCCACCTTAAAAATTAAAAACAACAACAACAACAACAATCACAGTCTGTGATTTTTAGAATATAATACTTTTAGTCACATTATTTTTAATGCGATGTTGGAATATTATTCATATAGCACAAAATACTACGTAGTTGTCACCATGTTTATTAGCGTTAGCCAGAAAAATATTTAGAGGATGTTTTAAAAGTTTTCCTTCATTTACATGGCTTTGCTGATCAACCTTTCACTCAGCTACTGAAATTACAGTTTTCAGTAACAGATGAGAGGGTGGGCTGGTGGGGAGAAATCTATCTAGATATGCGATAACGTTAAAAAGAATTTTCTGAATATTTATTTGGATTACCAAAGATAAAAGAATCATCTCATTTTTTATTTAAAAGGATTCTCAGAATATTTTAAAAATCAAATATATTTGTTTCTCTCTCCCCACTCCATCAACCTCCTTCATTCTTTACATTCAAAAAACACATTCTCTCTCTCTCTCTCTCTCTCTCTCTCTCTCTCTCTCTCTCTCTCTTTGTGTGTGTCTCTCTCTTTCTCCCCATTTCAGAGCAATGTTGGATATGAATATCCCATCTCATACTAGTTGAAAGGATAAATGAAGGTGTCAAAAAAAATAGAGACAGTGACAGAGTTGGGGGCGGATAAGAGCCATGTTTTAATTTACCGGTATATGCTTATCATTTCATTTTTACTTGTTAAGAATAACATTGTTTCCTAGAATATATAAGACACGAGTACCAAATCTCCTAATCAGAAAATTCTTTAAGACTACTAAGAAGTAGTCTTAAATAAATCAGTTCTGGGAATGTGAATCATATATCATAGAATATAGCTATTTGTGATTATAATACTCTGTTAAACTTTTCATGGCAACTCAAAAGATAATATTACTTATATTTATTCGAATTAAATGTGAAGGGTAATTTGAAAACCTGAAGATGAACAGCAGAAGCTAATAACTATGATCCTGATAAAATGTCTTTGTGAAATATTTTTCCTGTACACATACTGAATATGAATATTCCAAAGGATCTCGCATAGACTATGAGAATCAAAACCCTTCCTGCTTCCATCTCTAAAAACTTTAGCAAAATGAGACCAATGGTGTGTCTGCCTGAGAAAACAAAAAGAACTCTATAACCAAATTACTTTAAATATGCTATTGTCATTAAGCACAGTGAATTATGTATAAAAGACAAACCTATATAAAATTACTTTTACAACTCATTAGACAAAATTATTGCAAATAAATAGCTGAAAACACATAAAATTAAGAATAAACATAGATGAAAGTGAACACAGATGGAAGAATGTGATCTAGACAATGAGAGGTGAAGACACTGATGGAGACAGATGGAACGGTTTTACTCTTTCGACTCTCACCTAGATCCTTCTTCTTTTTCAGGGGGTCAGACTTACTTTTCCCCTTAAGAGGTGCTTTCTGTGGTGGTGGGATAAGCTCTTCCTGAACTGTTTCACTTACTTTACTCACTTCTGTTTGGCCCAGGTTGTGAGAGCTACTGGGTAGTGAAGGTTTGTTAAGTTTGCTATCAAGTAAAGCATCTTTCTTAATAGTTGGCTGGGAGGTTTCATGCATGCCTCCCCTGGAGTCTGTTAGTCCACCAGGTGCATCATTCAGTTCAGGCCACACATCTTGAGACACTCCTCCCCCTATAATCGCCAGATAACAACAGAAACACTTTAAGCCGAGACACAGTGTAAATTGCTTACTTAATAGAACAAAGAGGAAAACATTAGGACCACAAACAGAATGAAAGCAATCTTAGTTTAAAGGAAATCATTTAGATTTATAAGAAATATGGAGAGCATAAGTTTCACATAATTTACATCAAGGAAACATTTCAACTTCTCCACATTCTGGAAAAAGAAGAAATGAGGACAAAAAATCACAGACAGAACGGGAACTACTTTGATTTAATGAACCCAAGTATATACAAGAAAAGGCAAAACTCAGACATTTCTTGAAAGATATAAGCCCTATTATTCAACAGAATGGAAGAAAAAAGTTCCAAAGTACACAAAAGACAGAACATCAAAGATTCTGATTTTTAACAGAGTTATAAACATTATTAAAATATTAATGGTCTGTACCTCCCAAACTCAAAGCAACATGTTCCCTATTGTTCATATTACAAGGAATGTTAAAAAGTAACATGGGATGCTAACTGAAGACAATTGATATTAAATGATCTTTCTGTTTAAATGTGTACTACTACGTGACAGATTTCATTTTTTATTGCTCAGAACTTCTTCGGTCTCTTCCCCACATTAGCTAAGATTGGGAGGTACATTATGTACATACATATAATTATTACTGGTTTTATTTTGTTAGTTACTCTGCAAGCAGAGATAAAACATATTAAGCAAACACATGTGTTTTTACAGGAATTTTAGAGGAATTTGTAAAAAGCATGTTAATGTGCTGTTAGTGAAAATAAGCCAGGCTCTGCTGCAAATGAAATGGCTTTTAGGTACAAGATGATCTGTGTTATGGGTGATATACCACTTCATGGAATTGAATGGCCCTTCACATTCCCTTGATGAGCACGAAGTTAGAATGGAGTTTCACACAATGGAACGTATTTGAGGAAACTTGGACTCGTGAAGATGAAAATGCTATAAATGCACAGAATCTGGATAAGTGAGGAAGATCTGTAAAATGACAGCTATGGAAGGTTAGATGTCACCTGGAGTCAGAGAAAATGATCATCTGAGGATGGAATCATCAAGCAATATTAGAAGCTTTAAACAATTTCTGGAGAGGATGGTACCTTCTTTTATAACTTAGAAAAAATCATATTTTCCTCTACAAAGTTATGCATAAGGAACTTACCAATAGCAGCTTTTACTTCAATCGCTTCTGAATCTTGTGAATATTCACTAAGTCCAGCTGCATTAACTGCTCTGACCCGGAAAATATAACTCTGACCAGTTGCCAACCCATGGCAAGTAAATCTAAAAGGAAAGAAAGATTAAAAAAAACTTTCCAGGAGAAAAATTAGAGAAGATGATTGTTAGCTTAACTGAATGATCTGGCTTTATAAAAACAATCAGTTTTTTATTGAGATCAGATGAGATCAGGCGCATTCAGAGTGGTCTGGCCTGAATTGGTATAGGCTCAGTTTTTTAAAAGGAAGAAAAAGACGTAGGGAGATCCAGGTAACATATGTGCTTTAGACAAGAGGCAACTAAACTCATTCTGTAAAACAGTGAGGAATCCTGGTTTTCCACTGAATAATTACCTTAACCTTTCTGAGCATCTGTGTGCTCATAAGTAAAATGGGGCTAATAATGCTTACATAACAACTTTTGTGTAAAGCCTGGTCATAAAGTATTCAAAATACCTATTACAGGTCCTACATATAGGAGGCATTTAATAAATAATAAGTGGTATTAATAATATTATTAATGGCTATTTCAGGTGTATACTTATGGCCATAAGGCATTGGTTGCTCCTTGTCACAGAGGCCTTGTCACTGCCTCCCTGCATGCCTGGAAAGGTACAATTACTCGAGAAATTGCATTTGAATCTGAAAATAATGTGAAAAATTGACTCCAGAACTACCATTTATATATAAGGATACAATAATGAAGTGTGAATTTATGAGCAGTTTCACACAAAACGACCTCACTCTTTAATAGCAATTATGGTTATAAAAAGCTGTTTCATGAATCACTAACATTTTAAACCATTCTAAGGATTGTAACCCTAGAAAATAGCAGGTCTGCTAATGTCTCTATTACTATTAGCATGTTGAAATATTTTTTAAAAGCAGCCATAATTTAGGCCAATCCTAAATTTAGGCCAATCCTTAGGTCAGCTCAGTTCAGCAAATATTTATTGAGCACTTCAGTGTTCCAGACACTGAGTTAGTATTGTGGATACAATGATAAATAAAATATTTTTGAGAAGCTCTCATCTGTTTGTGGAAAGGCAGACTTTGCCTACCCTTCATGAATGTTTCTGAAGAGTCCCAAGTAAAAGCTGAGAACTCAAAGTAAAAGTGAAATGAACCAACAGGTCAAATGAATCTCCTCGAAAACATATCTCCTTCTCCGATTAATTGGTTTGTCTCTATTCTCATGTTCTGCAAAAACAAAAACAACTCATTCTATGGGAATTCTTGGACTTAGAAGCAGCCATGCCAGGAGCTGCCGAACAAGACAGTCTGACAATTTGGGAGGTGGGGGAAATTCTCTTTTCAGATTGATATTAAATCAAAGGAGGCTCAGAGTACAGGGTGCAGGCCAGAATTTATGATCAACTTGCAAAGCTGGTTGATAAAATATTTGGGGGCAAGAAAAAACAAACTTCCTTACATTACAAATAAAGAGATGGCAAAGTATTCTAAGTGTTCTTGATTTGGAGTTATTTATGTCTCCTTAGCATTGAGTTTAAGCATGTTGATGTTCAGAATTTGTAACACTATAATTTTTTTCTGTTCATTTAAAATGCCTGGGTAATTTATGGTAGCTGTAGCCTACTGGATCCTTGGAATCTAATATGACATTGGCTATTATAGACCAAAACAGGAGAGTAATGTCAGAAACACAGTGGAGAGATACCCCTAGATCTCTGCCCTTGAAACAACAATAAGCTGAACATCTAAAACTCAACATCAACAAACACCCCCCAACCCGCACACCAGCACGTCTAAGTGTGGGATCTATGAATAAGAGCTACCACAGGTCAGAACCACGGGAGTCAGCAGGGAGACTGGGAGTAATGAAGAAACTGCCTCTCGCAGCCGGGGATCCCTGCAGGAGGAGGGGCAGGGGAGAAGGTGCCGCTTGTTCCCTGAACAACCCTGATTGAGGGAGCTGTGAGCTACACGCAGCTGCAGTGCCCAAGGATCAGGGCAGAAAGCAGAGAAGTGAGGACGGGAGAGAATCAAGAGTTTATTATTACCAGCTGTGGTTGCAAATGTGAGGCTGAGCTGCAGACCCCATCCCCCAGCCCAAAGGGCACCACCTTCCATATCCTCCAAGATCGAACACCGCTGATCCCCAGGGGAATCTCGGAAAGCAATACCGACACTATTGCTAACACTGACAGGGACTGAGACTGAGGGTAGCAAACTTGATTGAATATTTTATAAGGAAAAAAGGCATTATTAAGACTTTACATAAAGCAAGGATCCGAGAGGCTTAGATGCCACCTACTGGAAGCCAAAAGAAAAAACACCTTTTTAGTGACAGGCTAAAGAGAGACCTTTATAAAATAAATCTTTCTGGAAAAAAAAAAAAAAAAAAGGCAGAATACACTTCTATTAATGCCCAGACAGAGAAATAGTCCATTAAACACCATGAACAACCAAGGTGACAAGCATCTCAGAAAGAGAAAAATCTCCAGAAAATAAGCTTTCAGGCGTAGAAATATGTGACTTAAATGACAGAGAATTCAGGATGGTACTTCTGAAAAAAACTCAATGAGATCCAAAATAATTCATATCAACAATTCCAGGAATTGAAAAAAACAACTAGATCAGCAGAACGAGTTTTTAGTAAGGAGACTGAAATCCTTAAAAATAACCAATAGAACTTCTGGAGATGAAGAACACATTAAAAGAGATGAAAAATAAAATAGTAAGCTTGGGAAACAGAGTCTACAAAATTGAGGAAAGGATCAGTGATATCAAAGACAGAAATCTAGAAATAAGAAGGAAGAAGAGAGAAACCAAAGAATGAAAAATAATGAAAGAGAAATACAAGAACTAGGTATGGAAACATAAGAATAATGGGTATTCTCGTAGGAGAGGAAAAGAGCAGGGATTAGAAAGCATTTTCGGACAAATAGTTGACGAGAATTTCCCAAATCTAAAGAATGAGACGGGGCTTGGAGTTCAAGAAGTCAACAAAGCACACACAATTATTTCAACTCAAAAAGGCCTTTTCCAAGACATATTGTATCAAAATTATAAAAAAATCAATGACAAAGAAAGAATTCTCAGGGCAGCCAGGGAAAAGAAGATGGAAACCTATAAAGGAAAACCCATTAGATTATCGTCAGACTTCTCAGCACAAACCTTATGAGCCAGAAAAGAGTGGAAGCAAATATTCAAATTACTAAATGAAAGGAACTACCAGCCAAGAATGATGTATCTAGCAAAGCTCTCCTCTAGATATGAAGGAGAAATAAAGACATTTCCAGACATACAAAAATTGAGGAAATTCTCCACTACAAGTCCTACACTACAGGAAATACTGAAAGGGGTCAGCTCATCTAAAACAAACAACAAAAAACATACATAACTATCAGTAAGGTGACTAGGAGGCAGTTAGTAGCTGAGGAGTGTAATCCTTATTAACAACAGGGCATTATAAGATTGAACAATAAGAAGAGATTTGCTATTGTAAAATAGTAATGAACATTCAGCATACATAGGGACAAAATGAGACAACAATAACAGAAAAGAGGCAGATTCAAAGATCCAAATTCTCAAAGAGGAATGAAGATAAGGCACACGTAGAAGAAAATGGACTACTTTATATACATATAACTATCCTCTACATATTCATAATGGTAACCACATACCAAAGATTCAGAACTGAAGTATACGACATAAAACAAGAAGGACCAGAGGGAAAATTCACAAAACCGAACCAAAATAAATAAATAAATAAATACATAAACACAAGGACAAGAAAGCAATGGAAACACTGAGCTACTAGAAGCAAAAGATAAAATGGCTATAGGAAGGCCTCATATTTCAATAATCACCCTAAATGTAAATGAACTGAACTCACCAATAAAAAGGGGCAAAGTTGTAGATTGGATCAAAAAACAAAACCCAACCATATGCTGCCTCAAGGAGACATATCTCAGTTCCAAAGACAAATATAGACTCAAAGTGAAAGGGTAGAAAATGATATTTCAAGCACATGGCGGTCAGAGAACA